ATTCCATAACTATTGCGCTTATTTTGTCGTAATTCTGAATAACGAGGTCGATTGCTCAGACCTTCTATATAAGCCCCCCTCAATATCAAAAAAGCTCCTAATAAAATCTCCTTCAAACACCAAGTTCATGAATTTTATTTAAAATCGCTGCAACGCTAGATCTAGGTCTTCGTCGATATATATTTATGTATGTATTTATACCTATATATTTTATGCATATGACTATATATACTATTTACTATTATGTAATATATATGTATAACTATATTATTTAATAATTACCATTATTTTTTCCTCTCTCTCTCTCTCTCTCTCTCTTTGTTGTTAGTTTATTCTCCGTACCTCAGTTTTCGCAGATTTTCCACTTAAACCCTAAGGTTGACTGGTAGAGAATGCCATATGGCATTAAGTTCGCCTTATGTACCATAAAAAAATTATGTACATTAAAGAATAAATAAATAAATAAATAAAAATAAGATGTCATTTAATGTTCCGAAAAAATCGGTTCGATTTAACCCACCAATTGCTGTCCCAACTTCTTCCTCAAATCTCAAATTATAGGTAGGACTCCTGTATTGTGCGAGTGAACAGGGATTTTAATAAACTATGCGAAGATTTAGAACTTGATCTATTTACCACAAGCAGTTCCGGGGTGACCTCTGTAAAGATATACTTGTAGCTAGCCGTGGAAACCTAAATAATTAACTTTGTATTAGCATATCCTGAATTGGTATTTTTATTTTATTTTAAAAGGCTTCGTGCACACATTAATGCACACGGTAGGCTTAATGCCATGGACATTCTCCTCCAGCCAGACCTTTGGGTTGGGTGATGTAGAGACAAAAACAATGTTCGATACAAGAAGCAAGCGTATTCTTTGTAATGTAATTAAATAAATAAATAAAAAATATCGGACGTGTAATACGAATGACCATGAGTCCCCATGCGCCACGGAGTATCCTCGCGGCACGCGCAGCGTTGGCAGTGCGCCAGCGGCCGGTGGCGTCGGGTCTGTGAACGATGCAGTATGCAGGCACGCTGCACGTGTCCTACCTCGCGTGTTACCTGGACGGACATTTCAAGGCTACGTCAAAGGCTCAAGAATTATGTGTCGTCTTCTATAACAAAAAACCATTTCTCTTACTTTTTATAGCGTTTATTACTTTGGTTCGGAATCGGAACAAACCCCTTGTTTTCCAATTGCTTGTATCAGACGTTATCCTATCACAAACTTCTGTGTCTTTCTTAGAATTCTTCAAGCAATCTGTCCATCTTTTTGGCGGCCCTTTCTCGGTGGTTACATGAAATCTAAGATGGTTGTCTCAGTATCCCTAAGTCTCTTAAGCCTAGTTCACAGAAGTTGCACTGTTTGAGACTGTCTTTTTTATGGTATAAGCCGGTAAACGAGCAGACGGATCACCTGATGGTAAGAAATTGGCGTCGCCCATGGACACCTGGAACACCAGAGGCGTTACAAGTGCGTTGGCGGCCTTTTGGGAATTGTGGGGTATTGGGGAGACTAGGGGAGGGGTAATTGGGCCTCCGGTAACCTCACTCACACGACTAAACACAACGCAAGCGTTATTTCACTATGGTTTTCTGCTCGCCCGAGATTTCACTCCGGTCGTGCCGACCTATTCGTGCCGAGGCATGGCTCTCTCACACCTCAGACTATGTCATGACGATAACTACTGCTAAATGCTGCTAAAAACCAGCAGAAGCTAGCAGAATAATTATGTTCCTCGTCCGTGCTATGCAAAGACCTATTTAGTTCAGTTAATAAAGGTTCTTCCCCTGGTCATCTCGTCACACAAGTACGTTCCAGCTAGAATGGACTATTTTTATATGATTGTATTGTTTCTATTTGTACAATCGAGGTGCTTGACCGAGTGCACGCGGAAACACGTCGCTTGTAGCGGATCAAAAGGAATAACTACTGATTTATGTTTATGAGCCAATTCCTTGAAAATATCATTAACTAAGAGATGAATCAACGATGTGAAATGAAATTATCTTTATAAATAAATGTTAGGAAACAGTTTGTCAGATTTTCTTTATTGAATTCTCTTTCTACAACGTCGGCTTCGTATCTGAATGCTAAACTGCGCCAAAATTGGTTCAACCACAACATATTTCAACAGTTTAGTCGTTAAGGCGTACTTATTAAACTAATTGACGATAACATTGTAGGTATTACTATCTACCGGATAAGGATCGTGGTAATCGACGCTCTGTTGTTTCTGACTTATCTACAGCGTCTGACAGTCCACTGCTGCACTATGAGTCTCCTCTAGAGGTACATAAGAGGGTTTGTCACAATCTCCGCAGGCAGGCGGGTTGGAGGTCGCAGTATACAAGGTTCAGGGTTATCAGACAGCGCTGCTGCACGGTCTCTGTCTAATATGTATAATGAGACACCCGCGACAAGAAACGAGGTGGTGGCCACCGATTCATGGTAGATGTCTAACCCACACGCACGAAGCGCTTCGCATCAAGCATCCTTGTGCGTACTGCTAAGGAGTGGAATTCTTTTGCCAGAGTCTGTATTTCCTGAAGGGTATAACCTGGGTGTCTTCGAGGCCCGAGTGAATAGGTTGCTTATGGGACGACGTGCTCCATCGTAGACCGCATCATACACCACCAGGCGAGCGAAATAGTGGTCAAACGTCGACCCAACAAATATACAAAAATATAAAAAATGCATTTTACTTTAATGTGACCGTCATGTTTCGCGTAAATTTGTTTTAGCAGATATCATAAACGCATATACCCAGCCCCTAAACAAAGCAAAACTAGAAACTTGTTCTGTAGACATTGGATCCTTTGCAAATATACCACGAAGTTGGAACAATACCACATCGATCATGTTAATTTAACTTGGTGGAATCTGTCCGTCTGTTTGTCTTCGTGTTGAGGTCGATATCGATGTAATATTGGCGCCGCAATGTATAGGGCCAAGGTCGTTATTACGTAATAGTACCGTAATGATAAGTTCTATAAATAGAAGAATATTGAATTGTATTGTATTCGAAGTTTTCTTGTATTGGATAAGCCGGTAAACGAGCAGACGGATCTCTGACGGTAAGCGATCGGCGTCGGCCATGGACACCTGGAACACAAGAGACGTTACAAGTGCGTTACAGGCCTGTTGGAAATTTGGAATTTGAGGATTATGGGGATTAGGGAGACTGCGGTGGCGGGTAATTGGTCCTCCGGTAATCTTACCCACACGACGAAAGACAACGCTGTGGTTGTTCCACTATGGTGTTCTGGTCGTTGGTGGTACCACTCCGGTCGAGCCGGCCCTGCAGTGCCGAAGCATGGCTCTCCCACACTTCTATTGCTAGTCGACTTAGTAGTCATAACTTTGGTAGACTAGCGAAAATAGGGTGCGTAGATTAGGAATAATTATTTTATAAGCCACCTATGTTTGAAGAAACCAACTTCAAACTCTTTCTATTTAAGTCGGTTAATTAATATACGAAAGCCTTATCCTAAGTGTATTAAACACTTTTCTAAAAACCGCATCAAAACTAGTTCAGCCAATCGCGAGTTAACTCGTCGAGTACCGTCATTAGAGGTATAGACACAATTATAGAACAATAGGTTGCGGTCACCGGTGACCGCTTGGTGTTTGACAGTTTAATAGCCCATAAACATACATACATACATACAGATGAAACTGAGAACCTCCATTTTTTAAGTCGGTTAAAATGTTTTGTTATATCAGCAGCTTCACCCATGTTTTAATCTATCTCTATGCCAAGTTTTATCTAAATCCATTCAGCAGTTTTTGCGTAAAATAGTAACATATCTACACATCCACAGTAAAGGTCGGCAACGCACTTGTGATTCGTCCGGGTCAAGGGGTCTCGGGTTCGATTTCCGGGTCGGGCATAGTACCGATTACTGGGTTTTTCAGTAGTAGCATGGAGTCTGGAAATGTGCCCGGTATATGGCTATAGGATCACCCCCTATTACATGGGACTCATAATAGTCAAAAATGAGTGTTACATTGTACAGTGGCAGTAAGTGCCGTAATGTGCACCGCTGCCTACCCCTCCGGGGATAAAAGGCGTAATGTTATATAATTTCACGCACAGTTTAAAAGTTCTATGATATCGTAATGATACCTATCATTAAGTTCGCAAAATGACGGTTCTTGTCATCGCCATCGACCACTGATCATTACTTTATGACTGATGGCACTGCCATCATCATCATCACGACTTGTTTACTGCAGCAGTCGACCAGAGTTGGCAATGACACGCTCTGAATATTATCTGATGTTGTCGTATCGTAAGGGACCGTCGTATTACCGGCCACAAATGTTGATGGGCAATCAATTGGGGAGACTAATGATGATGATCTTGTTAATTAAAAGATGTCGATTAGATGGGTCTTGTGTGTGTATGCGTGATGCTGTACATGTACAGTTCTGCTTGGTACTTCGTATTTATTCGTAATTACAATAGGGTAGTTGCCAGGGTATGAAAATTAAAAATCTAATTAGTTCATCCAAAATGGAGTTAGGTGTAGGAGTGGGTGGTCGTACGTGCTACATTTTGTAGTACGTTGTGACGTCATATGATGCTTCAAATTAATATATCGTCGAAAGTATTTCATTTTGTGAGCAAAGAAAAATTACGCGCATAATGTTTTAATTAATCTACCTGACGGACATTAAAATAAAATTTAGGAAATTACCCTATTATAGGCATTATTTATTTCAAAAGGTCTACAACTTCACATCGATTAATTTCAGCTGGCCGTTCATACTATAATCTATATTCAACATTGTCCTTTATAGCCAGTCAGACGTTATTTGTACTTGAACTAACTTTTGTGACGAACTATTGAACACTAAAAATAAAAAATGTTAAGACCTCATACAGGTCTCATTGGTACAACGATGAAGAACACCGGAGCTCGCTACAACACAACCATTTCGCCACTACCTATAGTTGACCATACTCTGACATACTACATTGTCCACACAGACACAAGATGTAAGCTGTAACCATCGCCATCTAGTGACATGAAGATACAAACAGTGGCGGGGAGGGCGGTAGTGTGCGAGGAGCCGCCGCGGTCCACGGCGTATTACTACGCGGACCTCGAGCGGCTGAAACGTAGCGAGCCTGCGCCCGCTCAGTCCCCGCCGACAGCGCTCAGCGAGTATGTCGCAGCGTGTGACGTAGCTGACGATGGTGCCGTACGAGAAGTACCACCACTTCGCGATAGAGGGCGCCAGCGAAGTCTGCCTGAATACTCCCGCAAAGAGGACACGTATTCCACAGCGGGCACGTTTCCTATGCCCGAGCCGAAGGAGAAAGAACCATTACTAGCGGAGCTGGAAGTTGTGGGGAGGTTGCCGCTGTCGCAACTAGATGGCGCTAGTGGCGTGCGTCGCAGTCGCAGTTGGTACCTGTGCTGCCCCAACGTGCCGGACGAGGAGATCTCTCGTGAGTCCTCATGGCGGTACTCCAGTCTGCGACCTGTGACAGCGCCCCCTGTGCCCAACAACTCTGCGCCGCACACGCTTACTATGACGGTACGTCGCGGGAATAACTTAAACACTGGTGGTGGTATCAAGGTGTTTGACAGATAATTATGTGTAATTTATATAGGGCTACTATCAAGTATTTGTACGTTTTGTGTAATATCAATTGGTTCTATCTAATTTGCGTACAGATAGTGGATTGTGGGAGCGCGCCATCTATTTTCACATTCTCGGAGTATTTAGTAATGTAAGTCACAATTTTTTCGCCAGGTGGCGGGTCAGAGTTCAGGGCGCGAAGACGTGGCATCACTGCGCGCGGAGCGGGACGCGTTAGCTCGAGCGCTAGCAGCCGAGCGACAACGCGCGGCGACAGCGGCGCGGGCACACGACGCGCGCCTCGCGGAGTTACACGGCGTCATTGCAGAGCTCGTGCGACGCCGCGCGCACGACAAACATGCGCGGGCGATACCGGAGGAGGATGTGTCAGGTACGTATACCAACGCCTGCGTTGTGTTTCGTCATGTGAGTCAGGTTATCGGAGGCCCAATTACGCCTCTTCAATCTGCGAATCTCCAATAATCTTCAAATTCCTAATCCCCAAAAGACCGGTAACGCATGTAACGCCTCTGATGTTTCGGGTGTCCATGGGCGGCGCCGATTGCTTACTATCAAATGATCCGTCTACTCGTTTACCGGCTTATTCGATAAAAAAAACATTATACTAGCTGCTATATAGGGTATCAAGGGGTCTTTACGTACAGCCTTGGCCAAAAGTATTAGACACCCTATCAATTATTTCATATTCTTGATTTAGAGAGAAACAAAATTACTTTTGTTGATTAATTAACTTTATTTTCATTAAAAACATATAAAAACATTAATATTTTGTTAGACCACCCTTTGATTGTATCACAGCAGCAACTCTGCGAGGCATACTGCGTACAAGGTTAACGCATTCCTCTTGGAAATTGCTTCCCATTCGTGAACTAAAGCGTGTTTTAATGCAGTTTTTGATGTTCTGATTTTTTTCTTTAAAATATCCCATAAATGTTCAATTAGATTTAATTCCGGGAACTGGGCAGGCCAATCTAACGGGTCAATACAGTAACCTTACCGATGATACAGTCTGTATTAAGAACACACAAGAAGAAACATGCTTTTTTAAATTGAACGTACTTCTTGACTATCCTACTGTCCTATCCACGAACGCGGGCGAAGCCTCTAGCAGAAGCTAGTTTAGTATAGAAAGCTATGAAACTGATAGGTTAAAATAACGAAGCATCTGCGTATGATTACAGACGAGTGCGAGTCGACGACGCAGCCAGCCGGCGAGCTGGACAACGACGCTGACCACTCGCGCACCGACCAGGTGAGGGAACTTATTGTCCCATATTATCTTATATCCTGACATACTTTGATATCATGAGGATACGCCTTGTAGAGTAGAATACGTTTGTCACCAGCGCTAATCTACGCTTACTTAAGGCGAAATGGTGATTTGAACTTAATCTTAATGATAATATCTCAACGGATATTAAACTAACAAGTTCTATCTAACTGTTCACAGAACGACACATCATCAGCTCTAAGTCCTGAACTACCAACCCCTCAAGAATCGAAAGTAGAAAACACAATACCAGCCACCTTTGAAGACCTCCCGACCGATACAGAGACCAGCGGGCACGATATCAAGTAAGAATAGTCGATACGTTGCAATACAGTACCGATTTCAAAATTGTTAAGAGCACCATCTGTTAGTTGATTCTTGAACTACATTTGATTTTAACAGTATGTGATGATAGATGTCGCGATTAATTAATTGTCGTTTACAATTCATCTGATTGGTTGCATGCACAGTCATGAAGATGTTTGAGTGTGAAAGTATGTTTGTTTATCCACAGGGCGGAGTGTCCACGCGTGGAGGTGACGACCCCCTCTCTGGCGGAACAGTGCGACACTAGCCTCAACCTCTCCGAGAGGGACTCCGACCTCTGTCTCAGCACTGCACGGTACATACATACATAGTACACACTCACTCACTCGCTCACTCACTACTTACCTACACACTCACACACTCATTCTCTCAATCACACGCTCACTCACTCACTCATTCATTCATTCACTCACTCACCCATTCACTTACCCTCGCTCACTCACTCACTCTTTACCCACGTAAAGAGTGAGTAAATAAGTAGTGATACCCACTAACTCAATCACTGCTCTTGTATCGTTCCAGTTGTTGCGACAACGTGGTTGGTTCGGACACGTTAGGGGGCGGGGCTAGCGGAGCGGGGGGCGGGGCCAGCGAGGAGGCAGGGGGCAGCTGTGAGAGGGAGAGGGGATCACCTGACTCGCCTACACTCTATACTCCTTGTACTGGTATGTATGTAGTGGACTTGTCAACGTATTCTATGCTTTACTGGGCAGGTGTTACAGTCGGTTGCAGCTTGACGATTGCTTGATATAATTAATAGCTGAAATTAAAGTTACGTACAAGCTACAATACACCCTATACTAATGTCAATAGCGTCTAGTATCGGCTGACAGGTCGGTGTAATATATTGCAATATAGACGCCAAGCTACAATACACCGTATTCCATTTACATTAAAGTACAATATTGGTTGACAGGTCGGTGCGAGTCCCGGCAGGCCAAGATGGCGTCCCGCGTGAAGCTCCGTAAGACGGAGGAGTCGGACTCCAGCAGTCCGCAACATGACGATGTGAGTATGTTTTATTATTTACTGTAAGACATGACGCATTCGAACGACAACATTTTTAACGAGCGATGAAATATAATCCTTTTATATAATCTACGTTTAAACACGACTTCAACTCCCTCTTTTTTGAAGTCGGTTAATTAAATATTCTAAAACGTTCTCCCAAATTAAAATCACGTTTACAGTATCAGTACCACGCAAAACTGTGTTAAGTGTAACAATCACTTTTCTGCAAACCGCATCAAAATCGGTTCAGGCAATCGCGAGATAATCGCGACAAATATACATACATACAGGTATGGCGACACATGTCAAATGTCAGTTCACGCACATAGACTCTCAATGAAACAAATCAATGGAGGACGTCACAAAATCCTACATCGCACTTGTGGAGTTTGATGGCTCAGGTACTATCGAGTTTGACTCGTCGAATACGTTCAAAGAAACATTAATGTTTAACAGCTTACTCACGTAACTCGACCAGTTTCGAGCCACGCGACACGCCAAGGATTCATATTCATCAGCAGCATTACGCGACACAATTACAGTAACACTAAAATGTCTAATATTCTTATGTTGCCCATGTTTGATTCCAGTGGTGGAGTGCAGACAAACTGTCAGTCGATGTATGCGCGCACGCAGAGCTCAGGGAAGCATTGCTCGCTGCGCAGGACCAGGGTACGTATACTATACACTTCCGTTTTTTTACACAACAACATGCCTTTTATCCCCGAAGGGACTTAATGCACCGGCACTTAATGCCCACTGTACAATGTAACACCCACTTTTCACTATTTATGTTATGAGTCCCATGTAATAGGGGGTCAGCCTATTGCCAAATTACGTCACACGGGAGGTAGGGGGTCGACGAAGTGTGACATTGTGTAACAAGGGGGGAGGGAAGAGTCCTAAACCTTGGTGACGTCACATCAAAAACATAGCTATACAACCTATAGGTATATGTGTATACAAAACTACGCATTGTAAACCTCGAGACAAGAGTAGAATAACCATACCACGAATGTGGACTTCTGGTACACCAACCTTAATGCTGTCCATCACCACCTAGAGACAGCAAAGCCGGCCTTGCTCATTTTGACTGAGACGCAGATATCGTCTCCGTTGAACACATCCTACCTCACTTGGCCTGGAACATTCCTTCCTGCTTAGGGCCGGGGTATGCGTGTACGTCAGGGACGATATCAGCTCCCGTCGCCTCAGTAATCTTGAGGGTAGGGACCTGTCCATCCAATGGCTGCGTGTAGATAACGACGACCACCCCCGTGTCTATGCGTGCCTATACAGGTCCCACAGCGGTGATAGCGAGACTGACCTACTCATGGACCACATCCAGACGGCTGTGGATCTTGTGCAGGGGCAGGTACCTTCAGCGGAAATGGTTTTGCTTGGCGATTTCAACGCCCATCACGCCGACTGGCTTTGCTATCTTCTCTGGTCCCCGTCGGTGGCAGATATCGGCCCTGGTTTGGTGCTTCTACCAGAAAGGCCTCACGCAGAAAGCGGAGGGCCTACCAAGCCTGGGTCGATGCGGTGGTGGCACGGGATGTAAACACCAGCGCACTAAAAAGGAGTATAACTTTGCCTCCAAGTCCTTCAAAAGAGCTATTGTGGGGGCCAAGTCGCAGCACATCGGTAGAATTGGTGAGAGGCTTGAGCGCCTTCCTTCAGTAACTCGTGCATTCTGGTCACTCGCTCAAGCTATCGAGGGCAATTTCTGCAGGCCGTGAATTCTACCTCTACATACGGGTGTGGATGCGTTGGCTCATGACGCAAGGGATAAAGCTCAACTTTTGGGGAAAATCTTCGCGTCCACCTCGACACTTGATGATGGTGGGCAGGAGCCCCCTGTCGTACCTGGTGCGGGACGTACATGCCGGATATCTGGTTCCACCAGCACTCGGTACGTTCGGCGCTCCTGTCCCTTGACGTCCGTAAGTCGAGCGGGCCTGATGGGATCCCACCCATTGTTTTGAAGATGTGCGCCCCTGAGTAAGCTCTAGTTCTAACACGTCCTTTTCGGCTCTTTTACTCTTCAGGCATAGGTTCGACGACATGGAATACATCTTTAGTCCACCCGACCCCTAAAAAAGGTGATCGATCTAATCCGTCCAACTGCAGACCGATAGCCATAACTTCCCTCTTCTCGAAAATAATGGAGTCCATTATTAACTGCCAGCTCCTGCGTTACTTAGAGGATCATCAGCTGCTCAGTGACCAGCAATACGGCTTTCGTAAAGGTCGGACTGCTGGTGATCTTCTAGTTTACCTGACGCATCGGTGGGCAGAGTCTAAGGGAGAAGCGTTGGCAGTAACTTTAGTCGTGGCAAAGGCCGTCGATCGAGTTTGGCATAGAGCGCTTCTTTCGAAGCTTCCTTCCTACGGGCTTCCCGAGAAATTATGCGAATGGGCCTCCTGCTTCCTTGCAGACAGAAGCATTAAACTGTCAAACACCAAGCGGTCACCGGTGACCGCAACCTATTGTTCTATAATTGTGTCTACAAAACCGGTACTCGACGAGTTAAGGTTGTTGTCGACGGTGAATGTAAACGCAGGCGTCCCTCAAGGCTGCGTGCTATCGTCTATATTGTTCCTCTTTCAGTACTACGCAGGCGTTGCCTATATAGTAGGCATCGCCTGTACTGTCGTCCGCGTTGACATTTCTCGGGAAAACGTCATCGAAATCGAGACCTCTTTAGGGAGAATCTCTGATTGGGGTGGACTTAATTTTGTTCCAGTTTAACCCCACTAAGACACAAGTCTGCGTGTTTACCGCTAAGAAACTGCCGTTGGTTGTCTCTCCTCGGTTTCAAAGCACCCCCCTAACTTGGTGTGCTCAATAGATCGAGGCAGTAATTCACCCCGGCCCACCGCCTGCTTCTATATAAGGCGCAAGTTCGGCCCCACATGGAATACTGTTCTCAACTTTGGGCGGGGGCACCCCAGTACCAGCTTCTTCCTCTGGACCGCGTTCAGCGGCATGCCGTTCGGATTGTTGAATGTCGGGACATTTCAAACCGGCTGGACACTTTGGCAATGCGTAGACATGAAGCTTCGTTGTGCATTTTCTATCAGTTACAAGTGGTATGTCACGGGAAGTGTTCTGAGGAATTGTTTGACCTGATACCTGCCGCGTCTTTTCGCCATCGACCCTCACGACAGCATATACATCCCCATCATATAGATGGTTGGCAGGCCACAACTGTGCGCTTCTCACGTAGGTTCCTGCCTCGCACTGCAAAACTGTGGAATGATCTGTCGTCGGCGGCATTTCCGAACCGATACGACCTTCAAACCTTCAAGAAAAGGGCGTATTCCTTTTTAAAAGGCCGGCAACGCACCTGTGGATCCTCTGGTGTTGCGGGTGTCTATGGGCGGCGCTGATCGCTTACCATCAGGTGAACTGTCTGCTCGTTTACCTCCTAGAAAATAATCACACTAGGGGGAGGAGAGTCTCACAAATGTGACCAGGAATATGATAAGGAGGGGAAGGGGCAAACAATAATGAAATGTGACGTAATTTATGGATGGCCCCTTAATCCTCAAACCATCTCCGTGTGTCTGGTCAGCAGTGGCTACTTATAGGGTGACGATGTCATGTGGCTGAATAATTCGTTTATAAATTACATGACATTACAAGTCGGTTAATTAATATACTGACACCTTCTCCTCGTGTAGCAAACATTTTAACCAACTTAAAAAATAGGTTCTCCGTTTGACCTGTATGTAAATGTATATTTGTCCGCGATTATCTCGCGATTGGCTGAATCTATTTTGATGGGGTTTTCAGAAAAGTGTTGTTATTGTTAATAAGTCAAGTTGAGAACCAATTTTCTTTGAAGTCAGTAAATGATGTTCCTGTTTGTGTGTGTAGAGGGCGGGTGCGTGTGGGCGGCGCGATGCGCGCGGCTGCGGGCCGAGCGGCGCGTACTGCACTGCGCACTGGCGCGCGCCGCCGACACCGCGCACAGGTACGTCACTCATAGCTTACGACATACTGGCGCGCGTACTGCACTGCGCACTGGCGCGCGCCGCCGACACCGCGCACAGGTACGTCACTCATAGCTTACGACATACTGGCGCGCGTACTGCACTGCGCATTGGCGCGCGCTGCCGACACCGCGCACAGGTACGTCACTCATAGCTTACGACATACTGGCGCGCGTACTGCACTGCGCATTGGCGCGCGCTGCCGACACCGCGCACAGGTACGTCACTCATAGCTTACGACATACTGGCGCGCGTACTGCACTGCGCATTGGCGCGCGCTGCCGACACCGCGCACAGGTACGTCACTCATAGCTTACGACATACTGGCGCGCGTACTGCACTGCGCACTGGCGCGCGCCGCCGACACCGCGCACAGGTACGTCACTCATAGCTTACGACATACTGGCGCGCGTACTGCACTGCGCACTGGCGCGCGCCGCCGACACCGCGCACAGGTACGTCACTCATAGCTTACGACATACTGGCGCGCGTACTGCACTGCGCATTGGCGCGCGCTGCCGACACCGCGCACAGGTACGTCACTCATAGCTTACGACATACTGGCGCGTAATGTAATACGGCGGATTATACAACCTGCCGGCGACATAATCTTGTGACTTTACAGTATTTGATACAAATTGGAGTAAGACTCTAAGTATATGCTTGTTTGTTCCAGACTATACTGCGCGTGCGCAGTGTCGGAGTCGACGTCAGTGTCGCTGTGTTGCGCGCTGCGTGCCGCCGACCGAGCGCTCGAGACATACGACGTGTTACTGGCACTGGCAGAGACCGCGCCAGACACTCACTCGCACCAGGTACATACATAGTGATACTGGCACTGGCAGAGACCGCGCCAGACACACACTCGCACCAGGTACATACATAGTGTTACTGGCACTGGCAGAGACCGCGCCAGACACACACTCGCACCAGGTACATACATAGTGTTACTGGCACTGGCAGAGACCGCGCCAGACTCAAGCCACGACACGGCTTAACGCTTTATTACACAAACGTGGTTTCTCGTCGGGTTACAATATTACTCGTTGGTGGTATCGCTCCGGTCGAACCGGCCCAGCACTGCCGAAGCATAGCTCTCCCACACATCAAAAGTATGGAATAATTGTCAAATATTCGAAGTCATTACTCAATTAAAGGGCATTGACTAAAATTGGTGCCTTTTTTCTGGCGGCAGTCGATGATTTATGGAAAATATTATCTAGAATGATATTACAAACAATTTTGTCTATAGGCTCATATATCAAAATCTTAGTCCGGACTGAGTTATGAGCGTTGAAAGGAGTTGGAGTCGAACATTTTATATTGTTATTTTTATTTAAATAATTCATTTTTTATCACAATTTTTTATGACTTTACGCGCCACTGTACGCCTGGCACAGGTACACCATATCACACCACAATATAGATGATATGCCAAACACTCATTTATGTCACCTATTTCCTCTCAGTCGATAACTTGTGGGATGGTTCAAGGAGGTGTGTCATGATCGTAAGTGAGCGTTAGCTGCGGTAGTAATGGTGGATTGAGTTTTTAGCCGTATACTCCTGATTAGAAACTAATCTACTTAATAGTTAGCATAATCTTTTGAAGAAAGAAAGAATTCGCTGTTTGTGAAGAGATGGGCTATGCGTGAGATGAGGGCACAATGTTTTTATATTTGTGTGATCAGTCGGAGGTATAATCCATCACGTTTGACAATATCTTTCTACAAAATTTTATGCTAACTGATGATTAACTGTAGTTATAATAGTTACTAGTCGGGAGATGTCGACAGAAAAATATTTTTTACGTGTTTTGACGACTGCCGGTACTCAATTCGCTACTGGAGCCGTAGTTGACTAACATAGCATTTCATTATAGGGCCCAGTAAAGTATTTTGCGGGTTTTCGACTGAAAGGAAATTGGTCATGAAAATCTGTCATAGGCTATAAACCGTATACATATACAGTAAAGACGCTAGCCAATCAAGCGATATGTTTTTTTTTTACTTGAGTAGTGGCCGGTTGAATGTTAATTTATTTATATACACTCTTCTGATCCCGTATCTTTATAACAACAACATTAGGTAATAAGTTCACAACAAGCTGTATTATATTCCTTCAAATCGTTTATAAACATTTATTACAAAATATTTCTGACAAGGAAATGAAGAAATATGCATTGTGTACGGTGCTATATTATCCCTGTGATCAACAAAATCACAGGGATAATATAGCACTATTTTCACATCTTTGAACTGATTTAACTCGGTTTGGACTGTGTTTTTGATATAAGACCCCATATAGTTTTTTGTTTGTAATGTTCCTGACGTCACATCGGGCTCACCACCATACGTGGGCCACGACTGCTGCGATCGGCGGTCATTCATTCACTCGCTCGCCCGACACGACGCCGTGCGCACATATCGGTTGACCCTAACAATCAGTACCTATTTAAATACAGTCTTCTCATCATACCGAAGTCTTTTATTATTCAAGACCACCAGCAACACACCTGGAACTTGATATTCAAACAGTAATGTAAAATAAAAAGGCACTACGCTCCATACAGGTCATTGTCATTTATCTGACGTTGGAAAAATCGGTGAAATAGTAACCAATAATAATAGCAAGGAGGTAAATATGGACGACACAATGCACCTATTGTTTCACGCCGGTCTTCTGTGAGGCCGCGGTAACATTCGGTCGAGCTTCTAAAATAGGCTAGAAGTTACTAATATATTATAAAATATTACTATTCCAGCGCGCAGCCACAGAACAAGTAGCGCTCCAACTCTTGGCTCGCCTGGAGTCTGATGGAGGCACCCTGGGCCAGCCCCTCCTGTCGCCGGGCCCCTGGCTGCAGGCGCTGCAGGGCCCCGCCCCCGCGGCCCGCTGGGGGCCCCAGCTGGAGACCAAACTCAGGGCACATGCTGCCAGGCTCAAGGTATATAATTATCGTCAAGTCATTCATAAATTATGCAAAATTTTTATATCTACATAAAAGGAATATTCTTATATTCATTCTTCTATATTTGAAATATTAACGTAAATGTATGTTGTGAATCAGATTAAACAGAAAGAAATGTCTTACTAATAGATGCTTAGACTGTACTTAACCGAGATACAATACTTTACTTGCTCAATGATTCAAATTCATTTATTGTTTGTTACATGTTGACAATAGATGTTATATATATTATAATAGTAGCATAGTAACATACCTATAAGGTGTACAATAGTTTATGTTATTTGGATTATTCTACTAGTGTCAAAATATTACGAAATTTTTTAGTTGCATCAGTTAAATCATTACAATAAAAATATGACAAGTCATTACCTTACATTATAGAATATAACTGAATTATTACATTAATTTATTAAACCTTGGTCAAATTATTATATTAAATTTATGAAACATTTAGTCAACTTTAATTTGATAGACAATATTAATCGGGTAATTAGTCAGTGGTCAAGTTGTACCACATTGGTCCAAATATTAACATTTGTCAAATGCCTAATGATGAAGTCCTTAAATAAAGAAATTAAAAATTAAAATTCGTGAACATAAGTCAAAATTATACATAAAATTGTTGTACGTTGAATATTGAATATACATTTACTATCAGTTTGTCAGAATGCAGCTATCCCAGTGTCTTGTCATTTAAATAGTCCTTTATTGTGTAATATGCTTTATTTATCAAGAACTGCTTTAGTTTAAGTTTAAAGAGATTGATAGCTGAAATATTCTTAATACTATTTGGTATCTTATTATAAATTTTCACTCCAATTCCAAATATACTAGATTTAAATTTAATTGTCCTACATCTAATTTCTGATAATTCATTTTTATGTCGTGTACTTCTAAGCATTTCATATTTGTTGATATCACTTTTTACCATTATTGCGGCTTCATAGATAAATAATGAAGGCAGAGTTAAAATTTTTAATGTCCTGAACATGTCTTTGCATGACTCAGTCTGTTTAAGTCCCGTCATACTTCTCAGACACTTTTTTTGTGCTTTAAAAGCTTTTTCTTTATCAGTAGAATTTCCCCAGAATAGTATACCATATTTTAGTATGGAACCCACATATGCATGATAAGCGTTTAACAGTGCATTCTCGTTTACCACTTTCTTGAGCATGTAAAGGGCATAGGAATGTTGATTTATTTTTACACAAATTTGATCAACATGGAGTTTCCAGTTAAGTTCATTGTCTATATGCATACCTAAAAATTTTGTAGCGGTGACTTCGTTAATAGTTTCGCCATTATAGCTTATCTGCAACGTTTTTGGTTTTGTATTTTTGTTTGTAAATGTCATGTAGTTTGTTTTATCAAGATTTATTTTTAGATTATTTCGGTTAAGCCAATTAATAATATTTCCTAATGATTTGTTTATATTTTCCTCATACGCATCTTTTCCATCGTCAGTAAAAATGGCAGTGCTATCATCCGCGAATAATATAATTTGCTGATTAATTACTTTTGGGAGATCATTTATATAAATAATAAACAAAAGAGGTCCTAGGATACTTCCCTGGGGCACTCCAAATTGGACTGTTTTTGGTTTTGACATATAAGTCTGCTCAAAACTTGTATTAATTTTCATTCGAGTTATTTCTGTTATTTGGAATCTGTTACTTAGGTATGATCTGATGAGATTTAGTGCATTTCCTCTTACTCCATATCTCTCTAATTTAGTCATTAATATCTGATGATCCACATGATCAAAAGCTTTGGACATGTCCATAAAAATTGCGGTCAAATGTTGTTTACTGTCCAGTCCTGTCAGAATTGTCTTAAGAAAATTCATTAATGCGTCACCAGTCGATCTACCTTTCCTAAACCCAAATTGTTGGTTAGCAAAAATGTTATTGACCTCAAAGTATTTGTATAAGTTATTATAAATAACCCTTTCAAAAATTTTGGCAACAACTGGTATTAACGCGATCGGTCTGTAATATTTCATCTCATCTCTTTTTTCTTTTTTAAATATTGGATTTATAACTGTAATTTTGAGCTTGGAGGGGAACACTCCCTGTTCAAGACAAAGATTTATAATATGGCTAAGTACAGGAGCAATTAGATGTGATACTCTTTTAATTATTTTTGTGTTGATATCGTCATAGCCTGTACTGTTAGTGTTATTTAGCATTTTTATTATTTGATTTACTTCGTGTGGGTTTGTCGGTTTTAAAAATATTGATTTGCAATTGTTATATGTCAGTGTGTTTAGAAGACTATTTCTATCCCTTTGAGTCGGCTTAATATCGTCAATGAAATAATTATTAAAAGCTTGTACTATTTCTTCCGGCGTTGTTACTATTCTATTATTTACTTTTATTTGGCTGATGTACTCTTTTGGGGTCACGGTCTTATAATTGTTTATAACTTTCCATATCGCTTTGCTCTTGTTAGTGGATGTGGTTATATAGTGATTGTTTTGTGCCGTTTGGGTTTGTTTAATAATTTTTCTTAGTCTCTTTGTATATTCTTTAAAGTACTTTTTATCTTTCGGATTTGAACTTAGTCGATACTTCCACAATAGTTGCCTCTTTCGCTTAGAGCATGTCCTGATACCTTTACTTATCCATTTTAGTTTCTTAGAGATGGGTATTCTAATTCTAATGCTAGGAAGACACAAATCGTAGATCAATTTGAATAAATCGTGGAACGTGTTATAAGCACTTTCAGGGTCGCTTTGTTTGTAACATTCAGCAAAAGTCAGACTTTTAACACAATTTGTAAACTTTACAATGTTCTCCTCACAATAATCTCTTTTTATTTTAAACCAATGTGTAATAAAGTAGCTTTTTTAACTGGGCATCTCAACAATTGTGCTGTGTGATCAGAAAGTGAAAGTTCCAAAACTGTAGATTTCGATCCTCTTATATTATGGGCTATATTATCTATACAGGTCATACTCGCGAATCTTGTGGGTTTGTTTATTGATAATTTCAAATTGTAACTTGCAAGTATTTGTTCAAATTGTTGGGAAACGTTACTATTTTCCAGTCTATTAATATTAAAATCTCCACAAATAATTACTTTTTTGTTCAAGTAACACACTTGGTTAAACAGATTTGTAAGCCCCGTGAAAAATAATTCAATATCATACTTTTTGTTCCTAGGTGGTCGATAAACACATACTATTATAATTTTGTGGATGGTTAATTCAATGCCACTGCATTCAAAAATACCATTGATACTGAAATTTTTGGCTTCAATTAATGTTTTAAATTTATGGTATGTTTTTAACAAAATGCAGGATCCCCCATGTCTATTTTTTCGTGAAAACATGTCTCCTAATATAAAATTAGGTAGTTTGAGTAGTTTGCTATCTTCAATTGTCATATTATGTTCCGTTATACAAAGTATATCGACCGGGTTGCTGTTTTTATTTTCACCAAACGAGTTTAATTGGACGGTAAGTTCATCTATTTTGCTTAATAAACCATCAATGTTTTGATGAAGAATGTTAATGTGCTTATATACGAAAAAAGTCAATATTTGAGGGAGCAGTTTCATTATGTTGATAGTCATGTTCTGTCTGGGTACATTGGTCCATATTGGTATTAGCTTTAATTTCAGAGTAAAGTTTTTCCGTGATATATTCATCATATTTTCGCTGATATGTGATTTTTAATATTTCTTTCAGCATTAATTGAGATATATGTAATGGTAAAAAGCGATATTTTGGTATATGTATAGAGTAATTCATGTCTATATAGGTCGAATGAACGTAGTGAGAACAAATAAACTTCAGTTCATAATTTAATTTTTTTTCATTTAAATGAGTGTTAAATAATACTTCAGAGATCATAATATTAGTATTTCTTGTACTATTTAAGAAGTTATTAAGGCATATTTGAATTTGTTCAGGGTTGCTATCATTTACGCCGCCCAAAACAATAACGAAATCATCTTTAGTCAACAAATCTATATCAGTTTTCTCCGTTTTTAAAATTTCTTGAAGACACGCTCCCTGTTTCCAGAAACATTTAACCATATAATCTGCACCTATAAGTTTTTGCAAGATTCTTTGTGTTCGACGCCCTTGTTGATCTGCTATGATAATTACCTTCTTTTTCTTTGTTTCCGGTTTCAGGACATTGGCTTGTTCTGTGCTTGTTTGTGGGTCAGTGTATTTAATATTTGTTGATGTATAGTGGTTTAAATTAGTTGATGGTAGATCGGCCCTACTGATATTATGTATAGGTGATGATTTCAGTCCAGAACTTGGTAATGAATTAGATTGCAATATATTCGCAGTCTTTGTCAATTTCATTGGGGTGGTAACGACAACATCCGTGGTCATCACATCGATGTCCGTTCGTTCGTCTAATGTTTTATTTAGCATCGATGTGTTTTGTTGCTTTTTTTCCGTTACAGGCGTTAATTTATTGCTTTGGTTAGATTTTCGTTTGCGCTCTGAGCGCGGCGTTAAATTATTTATGTCGATGTCATTTAATTTCTTATATACACTTATCATTTTAATATATTTTTGGACATCCGTTTTCAATCTAAAGTTTTCCGAATTCAAATTTTCAATTTCTAAATGAGCGCTTTGTAGGTCACCAGTCAATTGTTTCACTTTTTCCTGTAGATCTAGTATTGTTTGGCTCATGTTTAATGAAGTGTTTGGTAAGCTTGCCATAGTTTGATCAAAAAGATCCGAGTTGTCTGCAGTAATATCAGGCAAAGAGCCTGTTCTGAATAAGTTATGGTTGCGGTGTGTTATATTTTCATCCATATTGTCTTTCGAAAAAATATTATTTACCAATTAATACTTTTTTTTTTTGTTATGGTATCACTATTTACTCCCTCTGGTGGCGAGTTGATGTATTTTTAGTTCGCCTATTCGCCGCTTTGTGGTATTGCTGGCGCTAGTTGTCGTACAATATGACAGGTCCAAAGGTCATATTTTGAATATTTTTCTAAACGGTTCTTCTATTTTATTTTTCCTTTATAATTCACTAACCTTTGATGGGTACTGCGCAGGAAACTTGTTTATTAAGCCGTTTTGAATGTAACCATTTCGGTTTCAAACACAGGTTATTTGTTTTTAAATCGTTCTAGCACTTTTCAATATATTTCGTAAAAATTCTGTTTCACTTGTTATATCACCAAATATATAGTCACATTTAATATCACTTGTTAATCAGGGCCTTTTTAGTCCATCGCACTACTATTTTTATTGATTTCGTTGCTATTTAATTTATTTACGTGATTTATATACGCGGGTTTTGTTAACAGCGTCAGTGTTGCCACACGTTTTTTGATGACGGACGTTCATGTATGGACGTGCGTCAGTCGGATGATGATCTAGTCGTTAAGTTCGACACGTGAATGTCCAGGCGGACACGGTGTCACTCCGCGACACGGCGCCGGCGCCCAAGCTGTTCTCGTACCACGACGTGGACGAGGCCGAGCTGGTGGCGGCCGGGCGCGGCTGCAGCGCCGCCGAGATGGAGGACGCCGTCGCGCTGCACGACGCGCTCCACCGCACCGACACTAGCGGCCGCAAGGTACCGCCCCCTACTGGGCCTCCACGACACCCACGTTCTAACAACTCCACTCCGCACGCAGGACGCACGAGGAAGCTCGTGCTGTACGACGTGGCACGGGTTCGATTCCCGCACGGAACAACACTGTGTGATCGACAAATTGTTGTTTCGGGTCTAGGGCAATGTTTTTTTAAAAATCACCACACTTGGCAGATTTTGGCTTTTTATAAGACGGTGGCAAAAAAAACACACGGCCCACCGTGAGGTCATCAGTAAGTGAAAATTATATCCGTGATTGGCATGGTGAAGACGGTTCATACTCATTATTTGTTAAATCTGTAGTTCCTTAGTCGACCCTTACTACTGCAGGAGTGTAAGAGTGGTGATTAAAGTGTTTTACTCTATCATCACCACGTCTGTCGGTCTTAACTTAACGGACATAAGCTTTACGCATTTTTTTCATAGATTTCTCATTCTCCACGGACTCTTGTCCGTGCCCGTGTCATTTAATTACATTTTTCTTCTTTTTATAGTCAATATTAATTATTACAAAACCTTCCGTGCTATATCAACCACATTATTTACACAAAGTACTTTATGTCTGCCGTCTACATATACACGATACATGTTTCATTACATTTACACTGACTACTGGACCAGCCCGCCGCGCGGTGAGCCGACCTGCTCCAGCAGAGGGCGCCCGTTAAGCTTTAACATTACAAGTCTGTGTCGATATCTGTCCGCTTTGATGTGAACTGAACTGAACTGAACAATGTTCTAAACTATATTTTTTATATTACAGAGTACTTCCTCCCGCCGCAGTCGGAGGCCTCGTCCCCGACACTGGCTAGACACGCAGGCCTCCGAGACCGACCTCTGAGAACATATCTACACACACCGGTAGGCGGCGCCGCTACACTCTAGACATAGGCTATCATTATCAGCCACTACAACATCATTAGAGGCATTTTCGTTAATCCCCACGCTTGGTGATTTGTTTGGGGATTCGTGTAGAGAAGCTATCATTGTAAACACGAACATTCTTGGTCTTGTAATAGCGTCTTATCATAATCCCCACAATTGGGGATTGCATTTATATCATCGACGATTCCTCGGTGGCTTTGAACGGCGGCAGGACATACCCGGGTCCAGTAATGTAAGACATTAACGCTGTGACTGTGTAGCACTGTGACTCTCATTCTTATTGCTATACTACTAAAGACCATTTTTCTTCATCCCTACTAGAATACTAGTTTGAACAATTTTCATCTCTATGTCTTCAGTAATAATGTTCAAAATCCATTGAAATGTAACATTTAGTGCTCCATTATCAACATAGATGGCAGCATTTGACAATCATGTTTTTATGTCAAACGTCAAGTCGTTAGATTACAAAATAGAAACACAGAATTGTTTGCCAAACAAAGACAAATGAAACGAAATCACTTTGTAATTACAAAGACAGCATTGCACTTAGGAAGGTGCCTAATGTCCAGAATCCAGATACTGGAACGTCACTCAGTTTTAGGTCGCGCTTAACTGTAGTTCTGTCTCTACACATTCTTTGAAAAATGACAGAGATAGCGCGATATTTAAGTAGAACTTCAAATTAGAGTAGTCTTTCAGTATTAGGACGTAAATTAAGTGAACCGTTCATCAGGATATGTTAGCCAAGAAATGTCCTGTATTAATGACGTTGGCATAATCTCAATTGTTTTAAAAAACTACGCAAGTGTCGTTCGTAAAGTTAACGGTTAGAAAACCATGAAAATACTTCCACATAGAACGAACACACAAATTAATATTCTGAACAAATTGACGTCACTCCATATTATTATAATTTATAGTTAATGTGTTCATTGGATCTCTCACATAGACCCTGACTGTATCTCGAATATTACAAAACTAATGTATCGGATTTTCGATACCGATAGTCAAAAAGACCGAATGTGTAATTTGTATTCAATTTTTTATAATTATTACTACCTGTATTTACCATACTTCGTGCAAATAACCGTTCTTATTCTTATTCTTATTCAATGTAAATTGGGTGAAGGTATCGAAAATCCGATACCAAATACATTAAAATTAAGTTTACAATAATTATGACGCGTCACGTCCAAATTTTAAAATTAATTATTTTCGAGTGCCATTATACATATTATGTGGTGATAAGATTTATATCATTTTTTTTTATATGATTTTTTTTATTGTATTGTTTAACAAGAGAGGGTATATGATCTCTCATTGAAAAGACTTCAGTCGTCAGTTTCATTAATCGATTTTCTTACTAGAGACACAATTACTTGGATACACTAGCTGGGAGTAGCGTTCGACCGCTGCTCAGGTCCTATTGATCTATAAAACTATTGTATTACTGAGACAGAAACATTTTACTTCGGGACGAAAAGAAATAGATTTCACGGTGTATATAGAACAATTCTTGCATTTAATATTATTATTGTTTCTCATGACTTCAAATTACGTGTCTGGACATGTAGGTAATTGTAATCATTGTGAAGTAATTCCGACTTAGCACGGAGTCTGGGATTGTGCCCGGTATGTAGCAATAGACTCACCCCCTATTACATGGGACTCATAACATAAATAGTGAACAGTGGGTGTTACATTGTATATGTACAGTATAGTACACCTCTGTCTACCCCTTCGAAAACGACGTACGTAATATGAAGTATATGATTGCTAACACATGACCAACTTTATAATCAACAGATGTAAAGTTCAAATTACTTTGACAACATAGTCGACGGTAAGGCCTATGAAGTCGATTAAACCAATACTAAGGCTATGATCATATCACAAGCGGTAGCGAGAGCGGATTGTAGAATAATTCTGTGGAATCTACAAATCGTTCCGTGTCTGTGTGTGATGTGTCTGTGTGTGTTTGTAAACGTACACACGACACAGTACACAAACATGTTGTATAAAAATTAAGAATACAATTATGGCTCCGCCCCTACTGTACTAGACCACGCCCCTTTTAGATGAAATAGTACAAAACTAATGTCTTCTTCTAACAGGCAGTCTCATGCCGGTCTTCACCAACCTCTCCTAAATTGTAAGGAACCCCTAAGATAAGAACACAGTTTGGTTTAAACCAATCCATAAGTGACACCTAATAGTACAAGTAAGGGGTCGGTTTAGGGGTGGTTCGTGAGTATACTTACGTGTTGTAGATCTATGACAAATGTAATATATTACTTATTGTTATAAATGTAATGCTTCTAACTAACACATGTCTTGCTGTATCTTCACTCTATTGTCTGTGAGTAGAGCCGGGACTTGGGACTAGTATAGAGAGTCACCATCATCATCGTCCACATATAAATACCCACTGCTGACCAAAGGCCTCTTCTCACACGGAGAAGGTTTGAGCATCAATCACCACGCTTGCTCAATGCGGGGGCGATTTCAAACTTATAATTACAAATTATAAGCCCAGGTTTCCTCACGATGTTTTCCTTCACCGTGTATCAGTGGTGTCTAGATAATCTTAGAAAGTACATATAACTTGCTGTAGTCGCTAAGTACTCGGCCTCTGTTCAGGCTCCTCCCATTTTGAGTCACGAACCATTTTGACTTATTAATTGTCTAACTAGTGACACAACGCGACTGTCATGTTGTCAGTCGTCGGCGGGAGACAGTTGTGTGACTTGTGATGTACGCAATGTTATTTGCAAATATATAGATTTCATACTAAACGATCGTTCTGTACAATAAATTCATTTATTTTGAAGTTAAATTCGATGATCGATGACGATGATATCCTTGTGTTAAGGGAATACTGGACTTATGTCGAGGTCGACCGGAACCCAATTTATCAACGATGTCGAAGCTCGACCGATTTCAAGCTCAACCGGAGCCCAAGCATTAACGATATTGATACGCATTTAAAATCTCATTATTTCATTTCAGAGTACAAATTATATAATTTATTGTCAAATAAAGTAAATTAGAAAAGTCAATGAATGTGATCTCTCATAGTTTTTGATTTCTTTTCTATTTTATTTGACTATCATTTGTATCGTTTGTATTTACTATGAATAGGTGGTACAACTGTCTCCCCGTCTATATATATAAATATATAATAATGTATGTATGTAAGATAGGTTGCTTGAGAGCGAGCCCCGCGCCGCGGCGGTGACGTTACGACGCAATTATATATAATATTATAATTATATATAGCATTGTACAAAACAAAAGCTTTTATTATAATGTAAAGACAAATATTGTAGTATAACATGTATTAATAGTGCGATGTCATTATATTGTATTTCATTGTTACAGAATGAAATTGAATCTAGTTCGTAAACGTAACGTATCGGAGTTAATTCTGAATATGATTTGAACATGTCGGCCAACAGACCAATGCTTTGTGTTTAGTAAATAGATATCAAACTGTCGAATTTAATTTAAACGAACAATGCAGTTTTAATAAATTATTGTTAAATTATTAATATGTTTCTATACAACTTGTTGTATATAATTGTTATCACATCTTCGAGTACTTGACGGAGTACATTATAAAATAGATGTCGTTTGTATGTATTGATGAAATATTATTGTGTTGTAAATTGCTCAGCTAAAGCTGGTCTCAGGTTCAAAAATTGTCATTAAGTAGACTCACACCTAACAGACGGAACTTAGGTATACCAGAGCTGGTGCAATGTACCCAGTTACGGTGAATGAAAGGATGTTAATATAGTTGTTATACTTTTTCATAATGCGATTGTTTTTGTTCGAAATTGTAATGTATGTATGTATGTACAGAGCGGCGCGGGGCGGGATGGTGCTAGTATATACAGCGGTAATCAATTTACTATTGAATAAATATTATTAATGAGTAATATAGACTTTTATTTAGTTACCACTGAGTCATCGTCATCATTTCAGCCACATGACATCCCCGCGACGTGGTCCTTCCCCAACGACTTTCATTTAGGTCTGATGTTCGGCGAATTCCTGAACCTTTCCAAGTGACTCATTTATGTCTAGCTTTTACCCGTGGCTTTTATATATTTGATGGGCCGACGTGTGTCCACTATCTCGCCTGGTGGTGCACGATGACGCGGTCTACGATGGAGCACGTCGTCCCATAAGCAACCTATTCACTCGGGCCTTGAAGACACCCAGGTTATACCCTTCAGGAAATACAGACTTTGGCAAAGAATTCCACTCCTTAGCAGGACGCACAAGGAAGCTTGATGCGAAGCGCTTCGTGCGTGTGGGTGGGACATCTACCACGAATCGGTGACGCGTGATCTCGTGTTCACCATTTGTTGTTCCTGTTGTAAACAATAAGACTAGTGATGTCTCGGATAAGTCAAATTATCGGCCTATTTCCTTAGCTACGGTTATAGCAAGGGTGATGGAACGAATGTATAAACCTACATGATGGCCAATTTGGTTCTCGGGCTGGTCTATCTACAGAAAGTGCTATCGTGTGTCTCAAGCAGACCGTTCACTATTGTACTGCACGGAGGACGCCTGTATACGCTTGTTGTCTGCGCCTCTCGCGGACATATGGTCTCTTACGATCTATTGTGCAAAAAATGCGACAAGGCACCGGCTCGTGTCCTGAGGTTATATCGATATTCCAGTATTGGTATAATAATCAGAAAAATACTGTCAGATGGGCTGAGAGTAGATCTGGGTGCTTACTCTTAAAACCAATCTCAATGTCAATGCAATTTCAATCCAATAAAATGACAATAATTATTCAATGTCAAAATTATACAACCCCTATCGTAGCTATTAAAGTAGCCTTCAGAGTACGGAATATAAAGCCACACTCAATACAATTTAGTTCATAAAATATTCACGCAATATGAATGCAATAGGCGCTAGTATTGCAACTCAAGCGTACGAAATTTCACAATACCAATGTCGATCGATCGGAATTGGATTCGAGAGTAAACCCACAGATGAGTACAGGTTGGAGTGCGGGGTGAGGCAAGGGGGCTGACCTCGCCTAAACTTTTCTATTGTACATGGAGAGCTGAGCAGCACAGGAGTTGGATGTCACATAGATGGCGTTTGCGTCAATAATATTAGTTATGCGGATGACATGGTGTTGCTCAGCCTATCAATCTGCGCGTTGCGTAGGCTGCTTCGTACATGTGAAAGGAAAGCGGAGGCTCATGGGCTCGGATACAATGTAAAGAAAAGTGAGGATTTTTAAAGTAGATATTAACCTTTTGAACGCCAGAGTAATAAAACACATGAATCTGCCCTCAACGCCAAGCGACAAATTCCGCGCAAATTTCTACGAAAGAAATAGGGATTCCAATAGGGAATCACATTGTTGATTTCGTGTTTTTGGTTCCGCTTATTCTGTCGCTGGCGTCCAGGTACAGTTTTTGCTTGTCACGTGTATCCTCTTGTCAGTTGAAAGTTGCGGGTATAATGTGTTTTATACCGGGAGCCGGTGTGTCAACAGATAAAAAGATAAGTGATATTGGCGCTGTTTCATATCTTTAAAATCGAGTCACACATTTCAAGTATCTGGGCCACTGGGCCACCGATGACCTGAAGAACGATATAGACATTACGAGAGAACGTAGGGCGTTGTGTGTCCGCTCTAATATGTGGGCTCGTAGGTTCGCTCGTTGTGCTGAAGAAGTGAGAGTAACACTATTTAGGGCATTCTGCCAAACACATGCGGTTCTTGGGCTAAATACACGCAGGGGACGTACAACGCCCTTCGGGTTCAGTACAACAACGCGTTCAGGGCGTTGATGAGGCTGCTGCGTTACTGTACCGCGAGTGGCATGTTCGCGGAGGTGGGTGGCTTCCATGCCATCATGTATACGCGCTGTGCATCGATAATGTCCATTGCGAGTGCTCGGCAGTCCTAGCGGCATGCTGGCCGCGTGTTGTTAGGATTCGGTGCTGATGACGCACTGGATAGTTAGGCCTACATGCGAGAGCAGGCGCCTGACGTAACTATATGTATCTTACTAACTAACATGTTACGTATCGGTGCCGACACATGTACCTACACCCTGATCAACGCCGTGTCACCAGGCCCAGATCTGCTGAATCAGGGCATTACACCTACTTTGATGCAACGAAGGTTCTACGGAGTATTGCAACATCCGAACTGCTGAGTCGTCTCCTCTTGTCGCCGCC